GGGAAAGCATTCATTGTCAACTTTAAGCATATTGCGCACACTAAACTGTAGCATTAGAATTATATTTTGAATAAAATACATAGCTGTGTTTTCACTTGTCAATTTCAAGAGAAAAAAAAAAAAGGGGAAGGAGATAAATTACGTTTCTCACCTTTTCCCCCCTGACTCATGGAACCTGTGTCGCGTCCACACTGTCCTTTATTATTTACACCAAATGTCCAAACTTCTCCATTTTTCATTAATGCACAGGTATGAGCTTTGCCCATAGCCACCTGAGTCACAAAGTGCCCTTTCAAATCTGTTACTAAACCTGGGAGACACAAAATTTTGAGTGGTAAACAATACCTTCCTGAGAAGGAAGCATCCATAATACACTAAAATTATTAAGGGATAGTGACAAATCTTAAATTAGGAGTAAGAGAATAACATATACACAGAAATGGTGCTAGAGTAAGAAAGGAAAGGAAAATTAGTCCTGGATTATTTGTTTTATAAAATAAACTAAAAACAAATCCCTTTCCCTGAACTCCCAAATCACTACTACTGAAAAAATAATTCTAACTGTCATAGTACAATTGGAATTTTTATCTCTAATATTTTTATTTAAGGAGAGGTGTACTCAAAACAAGATATCCTATGAGCAAAGAAACTTGCAAGGCCTGATTATTGCAAGGCCTGCTGTCTCATTTACCTGACTTTTGCCTCTGTGGCCTTCTAGTATCTAATAAAATAAGTGATTTTTTTAACATAGCAGAAGGATTTATTTCAGTATTTGTTCCCAGTAGTTACATGTGTTGTTCAAAGACCTCAAGGAAATTGTCCTCTCTTTCTATTCATCTCTGATATTTCATTGAATCAGCAGAGGTTCTGAAAGCTCTAAGAGGACTAAGAAGTTTACAAACATTTCCAAAGGTTAAAGCTTTCTCCCAAACTGATCTGAATTATGCTATTTGAGAAATTACTTCAAGAAAAAAAAAAAAACAAATAATAATAAACTTACTTGTACTATCAGAGTAAATGGCATCTTTTCCAAACATGTAGAGTTCTCCGTCTTTTGAAATTACAGAACTGCTTCCATTATTGCAAGCTGTAGATATCACAATCTTTCCTTCCATTTTAATTATTTTCTTGGGTTTATAAGGTTTTGACTGTCGTCTACTTTTAGCTTTAATAAAGAAAGAAATCACAAGTCATTCTACAAAACAAACCTTAAAGAATGATTTTACCACATATTGTAACATTTGTTTTAGTTTTCAAACTGCTGCTGAAATACTCTCACAATCTTGATCTAGCTTTTACTGGGTTCTACTGGTTTCTCTAAAATCTTAACGTCAACCAAAATCTTGACTCAATAGGTTTATTTCATTTATGATTCTTCAATATTATCTTTATACTTTTACATACATGTATACACACACGTGCACGCATATCTACATACATGTGCACACATGCACATACAAATACACTGCACTGACATAAAACAACCTCCAGTGAAAAAAATTCTTAGATGGCAATATTGGTAGCTGTATGTACAGTAACTTCAGGGAAATGCTGCAATTGTTCTTTTTGCTTTTTGTCTTTTTGTGTTTAAAAGTATTGTTCTTCTGTTAAGAGAAAAATATTGAATTCTCAATGTAAACAGCCCATATTTCTAAAATGCTTGAGGCATCACAGATTCCAGTAAAGGCAGAAGGAAAAAAAAATAGACACATTTATGTGTTCTAGTGTAGTAATTTCTCAGAAAAAGTGTGAGGTTCCTGCTTGCAAATATATTTCCTGAAATCCTTTTGTCCTCTGAAAGTGGTTAAATTTCTTTGTACACTAAAAAGTTTGATTTTGTCCCATGGTAGGCTTGCAATTAGATGATACAATAAAGTTACTACAGTAGATATCAAGTTTCTTAATAATACACTTTTTTTAAAGAAGGTTTAAGTTTGTTTTTTCAGTTTCAAGATGAAGTCCCGATCAAGTTGTACTACCTTTTTGATCAAACCTGTCACTTCTTTTTCTCAGAAAAGCTTTAAAACAGCACTCTAACCACATAGTGCAAACTCTGCTAAAACCAACTTTAACATCTTTAGCTGGCAGAGATACTGAAACTGGTTGTCAGGACTTCTGTTGCAGTTAAAACTCAAACCCAGAAGCATTAGGTTTATGTAGAAAGTATCACACTGATACCAGAAAAAAAATAGGAAATATGCAACAGCACAGTTCTTATAACAATCCGTTCTTTTGCTCAAGAACATAACTTCAGAGTTAGATGCTGTGCTCAATCCCTAATTTTTTTTAAATACATGGTAATTATTTAAATGCATCTCTCAGAAGTAATCCTAGTAATCAGATCTACTACATAAAATACATGCCCTAATTCTATCAATTGAAGGCTTAGAGGGTCTTTGAAAAATCTTAGCCTGTTCCTCTCAAATTAACAAGTGGTTAATAGGCTTTTTTTTAAACGATTGATCAAAAAACATTATACCTACTTGATTCCCCATCCTCTCCTTTACTAGCAGAACCTGTGAAGAATATACTTCCATCCTCTGCAACAAGTAAGGCATGTGAACCATCATGTCCCACAGAGAACTGAATTATCTTTGGAGATTTTGTGATTGGCAGTTCAACCCATTTGCCTGCTGATGGACCACCTTGCTTGATTCCAAGGCTCTGATATTTGCCAGTATAATAAATCTAGAAGGAAACAGGACAGCATTTCCAGTTACGTCACAGCACACAGAAGTTGCAACTTCATTTTGAAAGCATGCAGTTTTCAAAATGCGTAGATTATTTCCTGATTTTTATTATTCCATTTCAACTTCTATCCTAAATCTATGAGTTATAAATTCATAGAGAGAGCATTTTAATTAAGTTCTACTTCTTTCTACTGGGTCACAGGGTTAGACATAAACATATCTGTTTTACTATAAGAGCTGAACACAGGCAATGTTGTTCTGAGGAAGCTAAACCTTTAGGACAGAAATGTTAAGTCCATGTGAAAGCCATATGGTATTTTAACAATAACTTTAAAAAAAAAAAAAAAAAAAGGACGGTACGTTTTACGTGAGCATTAAGGCATGCATTCATTAACTTATTTTATTTATTTAGCTTTTTTCAGTAAACACAGTGGCCACTAAGCACCTAAATGATACAATATAAAACTTCACACTAACAAATACAGAACTAAGGACAACAGCACTATTCAAACAAGCAAACAAACAAAAAACACAGCTAAGCTAACCTTTGTGGGTACCTGCAGATGCCTTATATTATGGCCTATGCATTTCACATTTTAGTAAGCTGAACTTGCAAGACAAAACCAGGAAATTCGTTCATTTTAATTTAAAGAAGCATTTGTCAGTCCAAAGATCAAATTAGTTTGTCTCCTGTAATTTCTCAAGAGTTCTGCTTGATCAAATCCTGTATGCTTCATTATTCAGTTTTTACTAGGAACAAATTAGTTCCCATTATTTATGGCTCTTTTCATTAATCTTGCCTTTTGGACAGGAGCAGAGCAAGGTCTCTATTCCAATAAAGCCACAGACTTCTGATCAGAAGAAAACAACGTTCTATGCTTATATAGGTAAACAAAACATTACTTTCCCAAACCGAAAAAAACAGTCAGTAACATGAAAAGTAAGAGAGAGAGTAAGCAAAATTACTTTAAAATTTCATTGAATATGAAAGTGCTCAGAAAAATTAAACAATCTCCACTGAGCAGAGCTGTCAAATTATTAAGAACAGGTTTAAAGTGAAGTGAATCCTTCATGTGGGGAAGTCTCGAGATAATTCTCTGAATTGTCTGAAAAATACCAGTCTGGAGTTGAAACAAATGACTACAAGTAGATATTTATGAAGAGGCATGTAGAGGTTGAAAGTCTGTAAATATGTTAATACATCATTTGTAGAAAAAGGTAACCCCTCTAATCCAATACAGAGGGCTCCACATTGTCTCCAAATTAGATTGACTGTCAGGATTTCTATATATTCTTTAAAACATTTAAGAACAGATTTCCCAAGGGTTCCAACCCTTCCTCTGCTTAAATTTTAAATTAGCCATTTTTATTTTTTCCCTTTAGAGAGGGCCTTACAATAGTCATATAAATTCATTCTAACATATTAAGAAGGTAGAAAGGAATTGTGGAAATTAATAATAATTAAAATATATATTTTTATAAATGCAATTTAATGTTTATCACAAAACGCTTCCAATACCTTTCCACTAGCAGTTTTCATTAGTGCGAATTCTCTTCCAGCACCAAGGACAGCTGATTCCTCATCAAAACCTGTACCTGCACAAGCAAGATCTCAGTTAGCAGATGCTTTCACAGATCATGTTATTCTTTGCCAACCTAACCTTACCACAGATATTCTGTCACTGAAGTCAGACCACAGGAAAGCTTCCAAGAAAGCTCTAAGAGAAATGAAGTTTTGCTGCCACACGATGATTTGCTGGGCTAGCCCCAGCACCTTTCCAAGGGAAAAAAGAGCTAGCATAAAAATAGCAGCGTAACTGCACTTGGTTGTTATTATACCCTCCTCAGACAGGAGGACTATCTATACAAATATCCTTTTCTTCTGAAAAAAAAGCAGCAGCGTAACAGAGTGCAAGAACAAAGCAAAGGCCAAGTGATATTTCTCCAAAACACTTTTTAGGTACTAACAACATTTACAGCTCAAATTCTGATGTGAACATAAGTTTCCAAGCATTTTCTATCTTTCAAAACCTCAAATTTTTCATTAATTTAGCCAGAAGTCCTTTTATAAAATTTGTCCCATGGCAATGAGATGTTAACAATGTGTTTTTATCAGCATTCTTGCAAATCTAATCCCTCAAACGGGAGGATCCTAACTGGGATCTAATCCTAAATTGGAAGAAAATACGCAAGGGCCAAGAACTATTATGTTTAATTAGAAAGCTACACCAACTCCCTAAATAGCACCATAGGCACTCATTTCAAACAGCAGTCTTTCTATACGGGTCACTAGGAGTCAAATCACCTTTTAGCAATTTCAAAACCCTTGTACTTTTCCACACGTTTATCTTAGTGCTGTATCTTCTTACACCTACTATAGGCCAATAAAGGAAAGGACAGTGATTCAGTGGTGTTAATTGAATTACTAGCTGGTTATTAATCTTAAAAGAAGAACACTTACTGATAATGTGCAAATCTTTCTCCAGATCAAACAAGGAGATACCACAGGCATGTAAGCATTTTCTTGCAAGCTTAAGCTGCAGTTCTTGCTGCAGTACCGGCTCAGTGCTTGTTGCAAATATTCGAACTACAAAGCCATCCTGTAATAAACAAAGTGTTCACTTCATTCTGCACAATAAATATATATATTTAGTTATCATGACCTAAGCGCACCTGGTATATTAATACTCCAGTTCGTATTATGAGATTTTGCACTGAAAGTTACATTTAATATAGAGGAGAAAATTGGTAACAAAACAAGAGAGTGACAAAGAAGATGAAAAGAACCGTCCGACAGAGCTCAAATTCAAAATATTTCTGCTACATTGTAGAAACAGCAAACTGCTATAAAAATGATTAACTCAATTTCACTACATATATTTATTTATTTATTTTTTTTACAATTATTTCCATCTACTTGCTAAGCCCTCAATTTCTCCCAATAAAAAGCTCAAGATCTGGTGTGCCCTTTAGGAGTGAGTGCATTAAGCTGTAGCCAGGAATAGTTTTCTCCTTATGAGAGCTGCTCCTTATGGGTGTTAGGGCTGGTTTATAGTGAAAATTTTAACCAAAGATAAAATTCTCAGTCCTGGATTACAGTAAGGAATCATAATTATGCTACTATTTAAAAGTGCTCTCTTTATTGAGATACTTCAAAGTGTTTATGATTTCTAGGTATTTGCATTTAAATGGAGCAGTGGAATAGATTCATTCAGCTTCCTTACAGAAGCCATATCCAGACCCACTCCACAGCATTAAACCCCATTCCTCTACTGTAAGTCTCTCACCACCAAAATCAGAAAAACAAAACTACCAACCAAAAAAAATCTACAACAACCAGCCGCCAGTCCAGAACTATGAATGCAGTAACTGCCTGTCAGACAAAATATACAATAGTTGATCTCGTTTTGACTTTAGTAAATTAACCAATAATAATTTTCATACAAAATTTGTATGAAAGTAGCATTTTTAACACCTCTTCTATCAGCTCTAGCTGAAACTGAGTACAAAAGTAATTACAAGAAGTTCAATTAGATAAAAATTAAACACTAGGAAGCTTATCCCAGAGAGACCTTATAGATGAATAAGCTAAAAAAAAAAAAAAAAAAAAAAAAAAAAAAAAAAAAAAAAAAAAAAAAAAAAAAACCTATTACATGGATATTTTTCCCAGAAACAAAAGCAACAAGGTTGTTTTTAAAACCTACCTGAACAATTATGTTTCATCACAAATCAAAATCATGCATATGAATAAGGAGAAAAAGAAAAAAAAGGTACATATGTAGCAATTTCTCATTATCTCTGCCTACATGAATTTCTGATTTCTGTTAGCTAGGAAAAAGCCAAACATCGAATAAAAGGCAACTGCACACATTTTATAAAATGGTGGTACCAGGTGAGGGAGAATACGTTTACCCATGACCTGTTGCACTTACATCTCTCGATGCTGCTATTTGATTAATATATTCTCCATCAGTGAAGAGGATATTCTGCCCTTCGGTATGGCAATCTGAGAGACAAAGAATGAGGGCACTGCATTAGTTTACATTAACATACCCTGTTCTCTGCTTCTGTCCAGTTCACTCCGACTAGGACAGTTCTAAGGACTGACAATCAGGGTCAGCATCTTTAAAAAGCTATTTGGTCCAGTACATAAAATCTATGGACAGAGATTACAATCAAATGTGTCATTATTTATCTAATATTTTCAGCCATTTATAATTTTTGTCAAACTAATGACTGAAAACGGATCAAGGGGCTTTAGGAAATTACATGGCATGTATGAATATGCCAGGCATTTACTGAAAACAGTTCAGCCACTTCTGCCCATATAAGGGGGAAAAAAGACCCTTTTCTCTACAAATCTAAGAACACAAACATACATCAACTCTTCTCCCCTTCTTACTCCTTGATGGAGCTAGTACAAAAAACTGTGATGAAATGGCAAGTTAACTTTCCTGTTTGACTACACGCAGGAAAGATCTCCAAAAAGAACACAGGACAGGGGCATCATGATCTGACTACCTGCATGATAACCTGAACAGACATCAAGCAGCCATCAGTTTATCCAATATAGCACACAAATGAAGCACACAAAATATGCTTCCAGCATAACCATCAGCATGGGTAATTTTTGTTAGGTAGGAAGAGAACTTCTAAGTACAGCTGAAAAAATACATTGGAATAAGTATTTATGAACCTCAAAGCTTGTTTACTATTGCCAGCTGTGCTTCTTCATCCAAAAGAACACCTTACTAGGGACAGAAGATGTACAAGGTTCTGCCATCCTGAAGCAGTACATCTAAGGGAAGGAACTTCCCTCTTAGAGCCCCTAGGCATGAAGCACATTGTGCACAAGCAGCAAGGGGAATAACACATAAACCGTAGGGTATTTCTGAGCATCCTACAATGCCTTGCTGCAATGTTACATAGAAAGTTGGAACTCAGAGGTGTTAGGAACTCTTGAATGGTTAAGAGTTGCAAGCTAACCTAAGCATAACTGTTGAGGACACAGGATTTGGGCACCATTACTTGCCAATATTGTACCATTTGGCTTGTTTCTTTGAGTCACTTTCAAGACCAGCAAAAGTCCTAGTAAGATTTTTTTGTGGAGTTGGTTGTTTTGCGGGGAGGGTAGGAAAAGGAAAGTGGAACAAGAATATCTCTTTTTTTCCTTTTGGTTAATGTTCTTCAGAAGACTTCCTAAGCATTAGCACTCAATCAGATAACATCCAGTGGAATCATTAAATACCAAGTTAATGGGCAGCATAGAAATTAGAAGGCAAATGATGTATCTGCAAAAAGCAAGACAGAATAAAATGTGCCAAACAGTAAGCAGTTCTTATGACCAACTTTAGTCTTCTTCAAACTGTCTTTGGAAATTATTCTGAAAACCAAGAAAATGTATCAAAGGTTTCTATCTGTAGTTTGCTATACCAGAAAGGACTCATGTCTTACCTAAAGAAGAAGCTGGAACATAAGTACAGGCAAGTGTTAATCACAGCCTTGCTACAGAGAAGGCTTCCAGAGAATATGACTCAAGTATCACCTTCAAACAACCAGAAGTGGTTAAGTAACATTTACATTCGTCCTAGCCAAAAGAACAAGGCCTTATCTGCCCACAGTGTAACACTGCAAGACAAATTTACGTGCGTGCAGAAAGCAAGACCACACAAGATCAAAAGCTGAAATGAAAACAGTTGCCATGAGCCACATCTTCTAGACTTTTTTTGACACTATCCCAAACCCTACAAAACACACTTATGTGAGGGAGCTTGAGGGATTTTTGAATGGGTATTCCCATAGGTGTAATCTTTTACTGTAAAAGCAAATATTAAGAGAGGTTTTTTGTTGTTGTTGTTGTTTTAAGTTATGCCAGTGTCTTTGTGAAACATAAAGGAGCTGTCTCACAGAACAACACTTGCTTTGGCTGTGATTTGCAAAATAAATTTAACAGCTCTGAGGTATAGCCTACAAATGTGCTCAAGTATCTCAAAACTGGCAAAAAGGACACGCATTTGTGTGTCTTAATAATAACATAATTAAGGACCTCAAGGGTCCTTAAGGAGAGGAAAGTGGAAAAGCAATCCCAGAAGGCAACCTGTCAGGTCCTTGAACATGCCTCACCCAAATCTCACCTACAGCTTCACAAAGACTAAACAGCTTAAACAGAAGTTCATGTTCTGAGGACTTATAAGAAGTTACATAGACTAGATTCCACAATCACATGTTACTTTAAAAAAGATTCTATTTATGTTTGAAATGTAGAACCCTAGAGACTTTTTCTATCAGTTCTTCCTTATTTATGTCAGGATGTGACATTTTCTTTTGTCTTCTGATGTACAGAAAAAGTCTGTCATTGTTCGACAGAGAGAGAATTATGTCCCTCATCAGCTGTTTACAGGAGGGGTTAAGAATAGATGTATTCCCCAGGGAGGTCACTGAAGCACATTCAGGAACATACTCATTTTCTAAATAGAGACACAGATTATGATGGTCCTATATATAAAGGAACACAACAACCACCACCCCACAAGCCTCCCCTTGGCCCCCCGTTTATACATTGGGGGCATCTATTTTCTGCATACACCTTTATTAAAAAAAAACAGCCTTGATCACAGCCGATACTGCACTACACTACACTTGATAAGCATCTAGACATGGAAGATATTGGAAGTGAGGTCATAATAAGCCAGCTGCTCAAAGCTTGAACTAAAAACAAATAAAATATCTTTAAAGGGGCAGTTAAACACCCAGAGTCTTTCCATTAAGATGATTAAACATCCTAAAAAGTTCTTGCACATGCTGGAGTACGTTTAAGACCACTGAATTAAAAATAGCAACTAGTCGCATCAGACTTGCAAAAAGCAGTTTCATTCTGATCTCAAAAATGCCTTTTCTTCTGTCTACCTCAAAATACAGAGAACAGTAAACTACCACTATCTTCAGTCACATCTGGAGTTTCATACCTGGCAAAGCAACGGTCCCATCTTGTTCCAAAGTTTCAGGGTTTATTCTTACGGCTGTCATACTGTGATTATTCACATCTCTGTATAACAAATAGCCCTGGTAAAAATAAAAATACACTGGTATGAAAAATTTTCAATACATCAATTGATTCAGTCACCAGTTTAGTAGGTTTCCCAGTAAAAAGATGTGCTTGCTTAGAGCTATATGTAATAAACCTGAAAAGCAAGTGTACTTTGGGTGTGCACATCTTCCTATAAATATAGCCTCACTCTAACATTTTTCCAACCAGGTATTACGTAGGTGCAGCCACTGTGCAACACATTTGTTGCACACACCTGTGCAAGAGCTCAAAAAACAGTATACTTGTATAGCCCACAAAGGTATAGCCTGTATTTGGAATGCCCAAAAATGAAACTATAGTGAAATTGTATAATTTCTATTTCTGTCCAGCAAGATTTAAAAAAAGAATATGTGCCTCCTGCCATGTTTGTATTACACCAATATATTTTTGGTGATATATCTGTTCTAATACTAAGCAAACTCAGATTTCATTCAATTAATAATAAAAATATAAAATTTGATATATTTCCAAAATTAAGCAAATGCAGCATTCTCTCAAATTGGAACTTCTGACCACTTAATGGAAACATGATTCTAAACCAAAACCTATTTAGTGAATTGTATAGGAAGTAGATGCATATTCTATCATGTAAAGGAAAAGGTCGATATTCCAAAAAGCAAACTAAATTTTATATATATGAAAAACTATTTATACACACACAAATATATGTGTGGGTATATACACACACACCCCTTTTCCTTTACATTTAATCCCCCCATCAATTACTTTTTGTAAATAGCTATTTTTAGTATCCAGAAATTGTATTCTGCTGTTTTGTTAGGACAGCATAAATAGTGACGTGGGTGTAAAAATATAAGAGGACATTAAGACCAACTGCTGAACTCACAAACCTAAACATTAAACCATTGTACTCAGAAAAAGTGTTAGTGACACCACAAATAAATTATACTTTTCATTAATCCTTTCTATATACCAGTTATTGGAGCAGGGGTTTATGTTCCCAGTATTCACTCACCTGAGCATAACCTAACCAGGATTTTTTTTCCTTTCTGTTTTTGATGCGGGATGTAGAATTGTATATATGGCCCTGAAAAGGAAGAACAAAAAACAAGTAGTTCAACAAGCACCAGAAGAACAATTTTATAGTTACTCAATCATCTTAGTAATACTGTCTTCAACCATACTGGGAATTTTTTGAAAAATGAAAATGCTCACAGA